TCTGTGTGTGTGTGTGTGTGTGTATGTGTGTGTGTGTGTGTCTGTGTGTGTGTGTCTATGTGTATGTGTATGTGTATGTGTCTGTGTCTGTGTCTGTGTGTGATTGAGTTATTTATAAAATACTAAAAGTCTTTATTCCTTTAAATATCTTACTGAACAATAGTATAAGGAAACACAAGCAGTGTGAGAAATGAAAAACAATCATGAAATTGAATCCAAAAACATACCTCAACATGCAGTACAAATGAATAAAAAAAAACACTTTTATTTTTCACTTCTGTAGCCTTTTTTGTCCCAAGAGTGAGTGCGTTTTATTAGTCCGGAGCAATCAGTTATTGATCATTTCTCACCTGTTTAAAGAGCGCATAGATCGTGAGTTTGACTTCATTCCCTGGATCCTTCTTCAGAGCTCCAAGTTTCTCTTTGGCCGCGTTGAACTCTTCTACTGATGCTCCCATGAGTGCAGCTTTACTGTCTCTGAACATAAATCATCAATATATTACAATGGCAGCACTACAGTTCAGTGTCCCATGATGTGCTTTTATGTGAAATGATGAATGGGAGCGTGTGTGTGCGCGCGCTCTAAAGCTTGTGTGTGAGAGGTGAAGATCTGACACTATGAAGGAGGGTAAAGGTCAGTGCAAGCTCAAGGCAAACACAAGGTTCAGGAGCATGTCTATTGCAAAGCACAACATGTCTACAGAGCAATAATAGAAATACTGCAGATTGTAATGAAGTGCATCTCGTGTCTGAAACTGCTCAAAATAAGCGCTCAGTTCCAAACAGCACATCTCTAATAAGATCTCACTTACCGGACGAATCGATCAAATCCCCACGGTGAGAGAAGTCTGATAACAGCAGCCATAACAGTGACTCACACTGATCAAAGTCTATGTTTACAATAACCAGCCGATTCCGAAGCTGTGCGCTGCTGTCAATCATCTGTCAGTGCATCTAACTCCGCCCACTGAACCATCTATGCACTAAACTATCTTATTCTCATGTTGAAATGTATCGTTACAAAACAATTACTGCCGCCTCTTGGTTGGAGGAATGGGATTTGCCTTTTACATACAGATATTATTCTAACTTAAGAGGATATTGAGCTAGGGTGTTTGAAACAAATTGGTAGAGAAAACAAGCATTTCACTCAAACCTTGGAAGAATTTAAATCAACATTCGAGATCTAAATTATCGACAGTTTAACAACGATCAATGGCAATTTTCTGGCTACAGAAGGACCTGTTAACTCAGAAGCATTGCGTTTTTAAGTCGGCTTGTAAATATACTTCCATGCCAATTAAACTAGCTTTTGAACAGCTGAAAATCAAACAGAAATTGTAGGCCATAACAGAAACTAGAAGCTAAAGGGTTGATCAAAAATGTATTTCGATAGAAATTTCAACATTCAAGAGACAGCTATCAAAAATACTTTAAAAACTTTTTAAATGTTGAAGGTGTAATTTTATTGAGGGCCAAATTACTCAATTAAATCAATGAATATTGAAATATTTACATAAAGTATTAGGGATGGCCCAAAATCATTAAATTCAATAATTAAATTTGATACAATCATTAAATACACAATAAATTAATGAAATGCATCATTAAAGCTGGTGTATTCTGAATGGTGAATTCATAGTGGTGCATTCATGCCTGCAAGGCAGGGACGTCCAAGTTATAAAATCTAGTGAAGGTAGATGCGACAACCAGCCGGCAGCCGCACAAATATCAGCAATAGAAATCCCGCTGGATCTCGTCCAGTAGGAGGCCATTCCTCTGGTGAAGTGGGCCCTCACACCTATAGTACACCGCAAGCCCACTGAGGCATAAGTCAGTCTACTATCTAGCGAGATGCGTAACGGCTGCCCTTTAGAGCGACCTCCGAAGCATACTTCTGTCAGGACCACTATCGTCAAAGATGATTGACAATTAGCATACAGTTTGGATTGGCGGTATGGTTCTGTTCTGGGCAAGAACTCCCTGCGCCTCCATGCAGCCTAGCATGGATGAGAGCAGGGAGAGCAGCGATAACCCCCCCAGGGTAAATAGAACCGAACCAACATAAATGTATTGCAGATATTGTTAAAGTTCAATAATGTTATGTACACATTTTAGAATTAGTCTGATTCAAGGAGAATCAAAAGGCTGAATCCCGACTGACAGAGGAGGAGCTGGGGATGGAGGAGGGTAATTAGCTATTGAGCAGTGCGAAAACTGCTGATAATACTGAGGGACCTTATATATGAATGCTTAGATAGGTGTCGTAGTCCCATAGGTAGATGGGGATCAGCTGAAGGTCAGCTGATACGAGCTTGACTAACGTGACCTGCCAGAACTAACGCGACGCTTGATAAAGAGCTGCTCTGAGTGCCTAAAGGGGCCAGAGCACTCAACATACATTCTAAGAGCCCAAACCGGGCAGAGTGGATTAGGACCCTGCTCAGAGTGGAGAGCACTTCTGGCACATAGCCGTGTCGGTTTGAAGACGACTCTACAGTCGTTAGGCCCAAACTCAAGACAGGAAGCACTGACAGTGCTTGCAGGTCACCCACTCACTTGACGGATGCTAAAGCCAGAAGGAGGATGGTGTTATGCGACAGGGGCCGCAAGCGTCTCAAAGGGAGGACCGTGCAGTGCCCTGTGGACTGTAGATAAGTCCCAAGTCGGCACAGTATGAGGGCGAGGCGGATTCAATCTCTGAGCTCCCCTCAGAAAACGAATGACTAAGAGGTTTCTGCCGACTGACTGGCCGGCCACAAGAGAATGATTCTCCGCGATGGCTGCCACATATACTTTGAGCATGGAAAGGGTGTGCCCTTTAACCAGCAGCTCTTGTAGAAGAGTCTGATGACCTGAGGAAGCATGGCAACTGGGGGGAAGGCATTCAGGCGAGCGCTGGGCCAGTTGTGGGCCGGGCATCTCGTAGGACAAGTCGCACGATGACATGTCCTGGTTCCGAGCTGCACACCAGTCAGAAAATACCGTTTAAGGGCGTAAAAACGTCTTGTAGATGGTGCTCTGGCCTCTAGAATGGTATTAGTTACACTTGTGGGGAGCTGCAAAGGCTCCCGTTGAGGGGCCAAGCATGAAAGCTCCACAGCTCCACAGCTCTGGCCCGGGATGCCAAATCATGTCCTTCGCTTACGAGAGAAGATCCTTCCTCAGTGGTATCGGAAAAGGGGCTGCCTATAGCAGCTGAATCAACCACATCTGATTCCTCCAGAGTGGGGCCACCAAGAGGAGTGAGCATCTGACTTCCCTGACCCGTCTGATGACCTGAGGAAGCAGGGCAACTGGGGGCAAGGCATACAGGCATACAAGAGCGATTTTTGAAGGGGAAACAAATAATACAGCTAAAATTGTACTTGTTAGAATATGTATACACAGAAGTAGCTATTCGTTTTAAATATTTAATAATATTTTGTATAAAAGGAATTCAGTCTCTGATAGCCTGACAGCTAGTGGATGTGTACAGTGTGTCTTTGTGTATATGTACAGCATGATGCCCGGAAAAGAGTTAAGGTCTTGGAATATTGACAACAGTGCCATCTGCCGGTTCATAGAATGTACATAAAGCTATTTAAAAAAAAAAAGTGTGAGTGACATGTGGCCAGGTATGGTGACCCATACTCAGAATTAGTGCTCTGCATTTACCCATCCAAAGTGCACACACACAGCAGTGAACACACACAAACCGTGAACACACACCCGGAGCAGTGGGCAGCCATTTATGCTGCGGCGCCCGGGGAGCAGTTGGGGGTTCGGTGCCTTGTACAAGGGCACCTCAGTCGTGGTATTGAAGGTGGGAGAGAGCGCTGTACATTCACCCCCCCCACCTACAATTCCTGCCGGTACGAGACTCGAACCCACAACCTTTGGGTTATGAGTCCGACTCTCTAACCATTAGGCCACGACTTCCCCTTTTGAAGCCCGTAAAGGTATAGTTTTGTTATATATATAACTTCCTATTGATAAATTAAACATGACCTTTTGCTTTAACACTCTCCAACCGAACAGAGCCATAAAGTAAAGCACCTCTTAACCCTGTCAGGATGAGTATGGTGATCCTGACATATAAACAATCAGACATGATGAGTCCGGGCAATGGGTTATGGGAAATGCAGTCCAGGATTGAGTGGCAAGGGTATGGGATGGAGTGCCCTCTGGTGGCTATCAAGAGCACTCCATCTGGTGATTGTGACAAACCCATATCTCATATGAGGGAGTGTGTATGTTTTAATGTTACATTTTAATGACCATATATAACTAGCCATAAAAATAGCCATACAGATATATACATTTTTATACTGAAATAATTTATGTTTCTGATGAAAACCTTTTGATCTAAAGACTTGCCTGCTTAAACTGCTTATATTTGTTTTGTATTTGCTTATAACTGTCTTATATTTAAGAAAAGACAACTTTTGTTGTTGTTTGTTTTTGATAATTCCTATACTTGTTTGTGCTGATGCACAATTTTGATGACTTCAGTGATTATAGTAAATGTGGAAAATAGTAATAATAAAAATGAGTGGCCTGGGCCAAAATATATGATGAGTGGGATGTGCATGTAGAATACACATAAATTATGAATCAATACAGTGCTTGGGTTACCACATGCATGCAAGGCACAATGTATAATGTGCAATAATTAATGAGCGAAGCCTAGTTTCGACTCATTCCAAAGTAATAATTATAAGGCCGTCATCACTTACAGTTTTCATAACTTTGGGTGTGTTGCAACTGAGGATATTTACAAACAGCTGACTCCACATTGACTGTACATTGAAGCGTGTGTTTTATGCATCTGATGGCGATGTTTGTAAAATAGACTGATGGAAATATATTTTTTATATTAAAATGATAAATGTCTCTCAAGCAGAGGAATGATGAGACTTCATTGCTCCGTCGTTTGGTTAAAATCAGTATTGCAGGCTTCAGAAAATGTTGATTAGGTGGTTTTAAAGTTTGAATTTGCACATGGCTGATTTCTGCATTGCGACATCATTTTAGAATTTTTTTTTAAATTACTGTTTAAGTTACTGTTATTTACTAACGTTATTTTCTTTAATTCTGCAAGAGTGTTTCATGAAGAGGAAAGTCATTTCTCACAATTATGTTTTTAGGTTGCTTTGGAGCCAGATGTTGTTTTCTTGTGAATTTATACCAAAATGGAAAGACATGGCAACTTAGCTTGCCATTTGGGTCAAACTCAAGTTTCATTTCCCTGTATTTTCTAACACTGCCCTCAGAGACTCTTCCTGATATTCAACAGGATGAAATATATTAATGTAACTAATGAGTCATAATTGCTATACTTTTCTAAGAACAGCATCTCACACACCCTGACTTCTGAAAACTAGTTTATTGCCTCACATGTGATCAGTTCACACAGTAATCCATCAGAATGATTTGAAATATTCAATTGAAATTCTCCCCGATGTAGTTGTCTTTTTCTTTTATAACTTTTTTTATTTGTAGTATTTCAGGTTTGACATATGAATCTGCTCGAGTATTACCAGTTATGACATAACTGAGCCATTTTCTTTTCAATTTAGTCAGATTGCACCCAAAGTAATTTCAACTTCTCCCTTTCACACTCATATCACAGTTCATAAGCTCTGTCTGACAACGTTTAGTATAAGAAAGTTCATATGTTTGATTTGTTGTATTATAGCAACATGGATTCTAGGCTGTTCTTAGCTTATTAGTCAGTCCCATGTGCTATGTTTATATTATCACTACTCAGAGAAGACATCATAAACGTTTGATCTGAGGTATGATATTTCATCAGCATGCATTTTCAACTTCCCTATTGATTTCAATCAGAAAAGAGTATGTATGTTCTTGAAGGCCATTCCTGATAACCTTGAACTATAATTTATTGACTGAAACATAAAACCACTTAAGGATTATGCAAGTTAAAATGGCATTTGGGAACATTTCATAGTTTTATAGTGATATGTTTTATTGGTAAAAAGCACTGTAGTCATCATAATGTGTGTCATCTATGTTAGTGATGGTCTGGAATATGCTGTTGTCATCAAGAATCGGAAGCAAGGTCAGAGATTCGTGTGTCAGACTGACCTGATCTTGGGATCCTCTTGACTTTGGTGGCTTAAGACATCATAAACGTTTGATCTGAGGTATGATATTTCATCAGCATGCATTTTCAACTTCCCTATTGATTTCAATCAGAAAAGAGTATGTATGTTCTTGAAGGCCATTCCTGATAACCTTGAACTATAATTTATTGACTGAAACATAAAACCACTTAAGGATTATGCAAGTTAAAATGGCATTTGGGAACATTTCATAGTTTTATAGTGATATGTTTTATTGGTAAAAAGCACTGTAGTCATCATAATGTGTGTCATCTATGTTAGTGATGGTCTGGAATATGCTGTTGTCATCAAGAATCGGAAGCAAGGTCAGAGATTCGTGTGTCAGACTGACCTGATCTTGGGATCCTCTTGACTTTGACTCTGGTTCCTTGGAGGTGTTTTTCTCCAGTGGAAGAGGAAGTCCTAAGCCTATATTAATCAGCATGGAGCTCCTCATTGGTACATCTGCCTGGAGCTTCTCAGCAGACCATCTACTCTTCTACAGAGACCGTGAGTTCAACACTTTTAATGACTCTTGCTGAATGTAAACGTTTCTGAGCTTTGATTTTGGTCATTAATACTTGGTTTTCAGTTTACTCTAGGTTTTGACTATTTTCTGCATATTTCTCTCACATTACAATGAAATCTTTCGTTGCATTTTCCAGATTTCTGCTTTGTAGCTGTATTTGTATATACTCACATGCAGTGTTGCAAATATGCACTGGTACAAATAAACATAGTAGGATTTTACAGAGACATGACATGTGGAAAATGGGAAAATTTACATATATATATATATATATATATATAAATGTCATAGACTGTAAAAATAAAATATATATATATATATTTTTTAATACGATTAATAAATCGTATTTTTTTTGTTTCCCTTAAATGTCGTGGTATTGAAGGTGGGAGAGAGCGCTGTACATTCACTCCCCCCACCTACAATTCCTGCCGGTACGAGACTCGAACCCACAACCTTTGGGTTATGAGTCCGACTCTCTAACCATTAGGCCACGACTTCCCCTTTTGAAGCCCGTAAAGGTATAGTTTTGTTATATATATAACTTCCTATTGATAAATTAAACATGACCTTTTGCTTTAACACTCTCCAACCGAACAGAGCCATAAAGTAAAGCACCTCTTAACCCTGTCAGGATGAGTATGGTGATCCTGACATATAAACAATCAGACATGATGAGTCCGGGCAATGGGTTATGGGAAATGCAGTCCAGGATTGAGTGGCAAGGGTATGGGATGGAGTGCCCTCTGGTGGCTATCAAGAGCACTCCATCTGGTGATTGTGACAAACCCATATCTCATATGAGGGAGTGTGTATGTTTTAATGTTACATTTTAATGACCATATATAACTAGCCATAAAAATAGCCATACAGATATATACATTTTTATACTGAAATAATTTATGTTTCTGATGAAAACCTTTTGATCTAAAGACTTGCCTGCTTAAACTGCTTATATTTGTTTTGTATTTGCTTATAACTGTCTTATATTTAAGAAAAGACAACTTTTGTTGTTGTTTGTTTTTGATAATTCCTATACTTGTTTGTGCTGATGCACAATTTTGATGACTTCAGTGATTATAGTAAATGTGGAAAATAGTAATAATAAAAATGAGTGGCCTGGGCCAAAATATATGATGAGTGGGATGTGCATGTAGAATACACATAAATTATGAATCAATACAGTGCTTGGGTTACAACAAGCATGCAAGGCACAATGTATAATGTGCAATAATTAATGAGCGAAGCCTAGTTTCGACTCATTCCAAAGTAATAATTATAAGGCCGTCATCACTTACAGTTTTCATAACTTTGGGTGTGTTGCAACTGAGGATATTTACAAACAGCTGACTCCACATTGACTGTACATTGAAGCGTGTGTTTTATGCATCTGATGTCGATGTTTGTAAAATAGACTGATGGAAATATATTTTTTATATTAAAATGATAAATGTCTCTCAAGCAGAGGAATGATGAGACTTCATTGCTCCGTCGTTTGGTTAAAATCAGTATTGCAGGCTTCAGAAAATGTTGATTAGGTGGTTTTAAAGTTTGAATTTGCACATGGCTGATTTCTGCATTGCGACATCATTTTAGAATTTTTTTTTAAATTACTGTTTAAGTTACTGTTATTTACTAACGTTATTTTCTTTAATTCTGCAAGAGTGTTTCATGAAGAGGAAAGTCATTTCTCACAATTATGTTATTAGGTTGCTTTGGAGCCAGATGTTGTTTTCTTGTGAATTTATACCAAAATGGAAAGACATGGCAACTTAGCTTGCCATTTGGGTCAAACTCAAGTTTCATTTCCCTGTATTTTCTAACACTGCCCTCAGAGACTCTTCCTGATATTCAACAGGATGAAATATATTAATGTAACTAATGAGTCATAATTGCTATACTTTTCTAAGAACAGCATCTCACACACCCTGACTTCTGAAAACTAGTTTATTGCCTCACATGTGATCAGTTCACACAGTAATCCATCAGAATGATTTGAAATATTCAATTGAAATTCTCCCCGATGTAGTTGTCTTTTTCTTTTATAACTTTTTTTATTTGTAGTATTTCAGGTTTGACATATGAATCTGCTCGAGTATTACCAGTTATGACATAACTGAGCCATTTTCTTTTCAATTTAGTCAGATTGCACCCAAAGTAATTTCAACTTCTCCCTTTCACACTCATATCACAGTTCATAAGCTCTGTCTGACAACGTTTAGTATAAGAAAGTTCATATGTTTGATTTGTTGTATTATAGCAACATGGATTCTAGGCTGTTCTTAGCTTATTAGTCAGTCCCATGTGCTATGTTTATATTATCACTACTCAGAGAAGACATCATAAACGTTTGATCTGAGGTATGATATTTCATCAGCATGCATTTTCAACTTCCCTATTGATTTCAATCAGAAAAGAGTATGTATGTTCTTGAAGGCCATTCCTGATAACCTTGAACTATAATTTATTGACTGAAACATAAAACCACTTAAGGATTATGCAAGTTAAAATGGCATTTGGGAACATTTCATAGTTTTATAGTGATATGTTTTATTGGTAAAAAGCACTGTAGTCATCATAATGTGTGTCATCTATGTTAGTGATGGTCTGGAATATGCTGTTGTCATCAAGAATCGGAAGCAAGGTCAGAGATTTGTGTGTCAGACTGACCTGATCTTGGGATCCTCTTGACTTTGGCGGCTCTGGTTCCTTGGAGGTGTTTTTCTCCAGTGGAAGATGAGCCTATGAGCCTATATTAATCAGCATGGAGCTCCTCATTGGTACATCTGCCTGGAGCTTCTCAGCAGACCATCTACAGAGACCGTGAGACCGTGAGTTCAACACTTTTAATGACTCTTGCTGAATGTAAACGTTTCTGAGCTTTGATTTTGGTCATTAATACTTGGCTTTCAGTTTACTCTAGGTTTTGACTATTTTCTGCATATTTCTCTCACATTACAATGAAATCTTTCGTTGCATTTTCCAGATTTCTGCTTTGTAGCTGTATTTGTATATACTCACATGCAGTGTTGCAAATATGCACTGGTACAAATAAACATAGTAGGATTTTACAGAGACATGACATGTGGAAAATGGGAAAATTTACATATATATATATATATATATATATAAATGTCATAGACTGTAAAAATAAAATATATATATATATATTTTTTAATACGATTAATAAATCGTATTTTTTTTGTTTCCCTTAAATGTCATGTGTGGGTCTCTGTAGTATTTTATATAGGACTTGGATGTTAAAATAGATATTTTGTAAAGGTTTTTTTTTGTTTGTTTTTTATCAGTGTTTTACTTCACAACTACAGAGCGTATTTTATATAGGACTTGGATGTTAAAATAGATATTTTGTAAAGGTTTTTTTTTTGTTTGTTTTTTTGTTTGTTTTTTATCAGTGTTTTACTTCACAACTACAGAGGTTCTTTTCTTTTCAGAGATTGTTTTTTTTCTCTCATGACTTGAGATTATTAAGCTAAATAAATGCTATTAAGTAAAATTGTTACTACATGAAACAAACAGGGAAAAAACAGTTTGGGTAATTTTTTTTTTTTCTAAGAAATGAATTGTATTTAGCAAGGGTGCATTATATTAATCAAAAGTGACAGTAAAGACATTTATAATGTTACAGAAGATTTCTATTTCAAATAAATATTTCTATTCATCCTGGGGGAAAACGTCATCATTTATAAATAAAATATTTAATATTAAAAATATATATTTAATAAAAATTTAAAGCAGCATGTATTTTTCCAACATTGATAATAATCAGAAATGTTTCTTGAGCAGCTAATCAGCATATTAGAATGATTTCTGAAGAACATGTGATACTGAAAACTGGGGTAATGATGCTGAAAATTCATCTTTGATCACAGGAATAAATTACATTTTAAAATATATTTACATAGTAAACAGTTATTTTAAATTGTAACATTATTTCAAAATATTATTGTTTTTACTGTAATTTTTTGATCAAACAAATGCAGCCTTGATGAGCCAAAGACACTTCTTCTGAAAACATAAAAAAATCTTACAGACTCCAAACTTCTGAACAATGCTCTGAGTAACTGTGTCAGTGATGGGTCTGTGACAAGAAGGCTCTTGCTTCTGCTGCTGCTGCTGCATTGCTCAGTAGAGAATGATATTTCATCAGTGCTTCATGATTCTCACAGTTTCACTGAGAGAATGCCTTTCCTAAAACAGTCTAACACCATATTGCATCATATCTTCCCACGGGGGCAGACAGAAAGAAATAGATAAAGTCTTGTTCATTCAACACACATGTACATGCATGCACACACCTACTACCTGTCCTGTCCTCTGCAGCTGCAATGAATCTTCAGATGCATATGTCAGACATATACCAAATCTAAAGTCTCTGTATTTTAAAGTCTAACATACGATCTGTCCTCCAGGCAAACGTCAAGACATCTTGTGTACATCATGTTGCATCGAATCTCTTCCACTGAGGCCTGGGGACCCCTGCGTGGCCGTTTGACCTTTGCCAGCTCAAACTCAGATGAGTCTAATACACCCGAGTATGAGGCTTTTGTAGGCGCCACACCAAGAGCACCCTGTAAAGTTTTATTCATTCATACTCAACTGAAATGTGTGCAGATGAACCAAGTGTTTGAAAATTAACACATTTAGAAATGAAAGTGTAATTTTTCCTTAAAGGGATAGTTCGCCTTCAGTTGCTGGTCCCCATTGACTTGCATAGTGGTTTTTTTTCCCCCCATAATATGGAAGTCAATGAGAACAGCAACTGAAGATGAACTATCCCTTTAAATCACCCCACAGTTTTGACACCACACCCATAAAATGGCAAACCCAGCTAAGATGGCAATATTTGCGCTGTTCTAAAATCTAGTGAGCTGCCTATACAGACAGCATCCTATGCATCATATTCCTGTTTCTGATCCAAGATGCTGGACTGAGTGGAATGAAATTTCTATTATGAATAGGGTGGCCATCCGTCTGGTTTTAGGTCGGACAGATAAGTTTTTAAATACCTAGTCCATCTACCGGTGCAGCTCATTTGTTCTCCTTTTAAGATCATCACTCTTTTATACTTTATCCAATGGTATATTATTAATAAATGAATAGATTAAAACAGAGGCTTTAAGTTTAAGTTAATATAAATGGATGTATTTTAGACACACTTGTCAATATCGACTGGTTGTTTTCTGATTTAGTTTAATATTTTCATTTTTTCCAACATTTTTATATTTCTATATTCAGTATATTTTGTTTTTAAAAACATTAATCTTATAATAGTATATGTGCAGTTGTAAACTGTGTATGTTTATATAAATCTAATGCCAGTTCAGATGCAGCTTTTGAGCCACCTCTACAGTGCAAAGATGGATTTTCATTTTGATTTTGATTTGATTGGTAAAAGCCCTATAATGTCTTATTATTATAATTGCATTTATTGAATAGATTTACAAACTTTAATGAAAGCAGACACATACATTTAAAAGAGTTAGAAAAGTTGCCTTTATAAAGGTTAAAAAAATGCCCCTGGAAATCAGAAAAGTTCTGGAAAAGTTAGGTTTAGGGTCCGTTTTTATCCTGGATTCACTGTATCCTGCAAAGTCTCCTCCTTTTTGGTGTTATATATGGCCACCCTAATTATAAATATACATTTATTTCATCCAATTCTGTACATTTTTCAAATAAAAATAGTTCAGTCTTACTAAAAATTGACTATTTTACCTGATATTTGCATTGCATTGTATATAGTCCTATTAGCAGTTTGTCATTGCTCAAGTCTTTACACAAACTATTATACGATTATACTATTATAAATGCTCATCCATTATCCTTAGCATGATTAGACGATAAGATTAGACCTTGAAATACTACTAAATGTGTTCATATATATTTGTAATTGTTCTGAAACTGTTAGCCCTGACTCAGCTGCAGTAATAATGTTTATATTCTAAAAAAGATCATCCAAGTTTTTTTTATTTTTTCAGCAAAACCAGCTCTCTCAGTACTGAGTGTTGATATGCGTGTGACAGACAACAAGAAAGCGCACAACACCAGCAGTTACAAGAACACCAACCTCATTGTGCGCAGGAATAAAGAATTCATCATCATCATCAGGTTTGACCGACCCTTCAATAACCAGCAGGACAATGTGCATTTGGAGTTCATGATTGGTGAGCAGATCTTTCAAACCATCCAATTTACATTTACATTTAATCGTTTAGCAGACGTTTTTATCCGAAGCGACTTGCAGATGATGACAATAAAAGCAATCAAACCAACAATATGTAAGTGCTGTGACAAGTCCCAGATAGTCTAATGCAGTACACATAGCTTTTTTTTTTTATAATACATAAAAAGAGTAAAAAGTAAATAGAAAAGAAATAGAATTTTTCTAGATTGAGTTGGGCAGGTCATTCCACCAGCAGGGAACAGTTAAGGTAAAAGTCTGTGAAATAGATTTTGTGCCTCTTTGGGATGGCACTATGATGCGCCGTTCACTTGCAGAACGCAAGCTTCTGGAGGGCACATATGTCTGATAATAGTGAATTTATGTAAAGGGGAAAAAACATTTTTTTCCAACCCAATTTCAAATGTATGAATTTAACAAAGAATTAATTAATTAATTTCAAAAGCAAGCTTAACCTTAACTGTCAGTAGGACATTATGAGATCTTTCCAAAACATACACATTAGTCACCAATTTGCCAAAATGTAAAATAATTATGAATTGACATTGACATTACAACACCGATCGCTTCCATCAACACCAAAGAAAATTTCACGGCTGTTTTTAGGTCTACATCAGCCTATCTGACCGGCATTACAATCATATGGCAGTGACTTACAGGACAGTTTCATGCAATAAACTATAAATCTTTTGTTTTTGTACATTTTTAGAGTTAAAATAACTTCCATGAATTATGGATCAAGGTTGATTGATTTGAATGTATTTTATTTTTTCAATTTTGACATTTGAATCAGTGTTGATATTTTGAAGTTGTTTCAACGTCTTATTTTACAACAAAAAATTTGTAAGTATTTTGTTAACCTTTTCGCAACAATTTAGCATTTAACAATTAAGTTTCTTTCCCATGTTGAATCTAGTAAGCTGCTTACCCAGATAGCATCTTAGGCATCATATCGCAATCTTGTTTCACCGTCTTTTACAAATAAACATGTCTACACTGATTTATAAGTATTTTGTAATCTTTCTTATACATCCAAAATCCAGAAAGCCTAAAGCACTGGAGAAACACCAGTATGGTACTATATAATACTATAATAATCAGTATGCGTATCCTCAGCCTCATGTTGCTCCAAACCTGTATATACATAACATTTTGCAGAATGTTGGAAACCAAACTGTTCTGGTGTCCATTGACTTTCATTGAATGGACAAAAAAACACTGAAACTTTTCTTAAAATATATTTGAAAAGAAGTAAGTACGTCATACAGGTTACTACTCTACGACTGTAAATTATGACATTTTATTATGACATCCTATTCTTTTAACTCTTTCCCAGTTTTTTTTTTTTTTTTTTACATTGCCAGTCACCGTCCACTTGAATGTGACAAGTATTATGTTGAAAAGGAACATTTTGAACAAAATTACGTTTTTGTCAAAGACTACATCTGGATTTGATTCAGATCGCTTCCATCAACACGCTTAGCTTCACAGTCCTAAACCAATGCAACATTTCATTCGGTAATATTAGGCAGTTTTGATGTATATGCTTTTTAATGCTTGATGATTGCATTATTTGACCTATGCATCTGCTTACACATGTAATCGCTTGTTTCTGCTTCCTCTTCACCAGGTTTTGATCGAGACATTCAGTAGTCTATCAGAAGATGCTTAATAGTGACCCTACCTTATAATGGTGAAAACACAGAAAGCTGGAAAATTCCATTATTGGCGAGGAAAGAGTTAAAAAAAGAGAGTGTGGTGACCCATAATGTTGTGTCTAGTTAGTACTGAACCTGACAAAAGCTGTCGAGAATTATGACAACAAGCTATGTATAGGCCTGAATGAACAGATGTAGCCATACAGAAATGATTTTTTTTAATGGTCAACAAAGCCATTAATGGACTGGAAATAACTCTCAGACAAACAATGAAACTGAGAAAATATCTGCCCATCTTCATTAGGGGCTTGCACAAATACATCAACCAGAGCGTAGTGCCATTTTTTTAAAATAAAAATTGGCCTTACGACTGTAAAAAATATGAATTGATTTCCAGGGGGCAAAAATCGGCCCTTAATGGAAAAGTTAATTTCTGAACCCGTTTTGGATCCCACTGACTTTCATTGTATGAGCAAATCCCATTCTTCAGCTGCTTCAGACATGCTCAAAAATATCATACTTAGAAGTCATTGAGTTTGGAATGAGAAAATGATGACAGAATGTTCATTTACGGGTGAGCTGTCCGTTAATACTAGCATACATCTGTCCTCACAGGCAATTCACCTGATGAAAACAAGGGCACCTGCATCACCGTGTCCTTTGGAAAAGAGAAACGTGACGGACGCTGGAATGGTCGCGTGATTGGCGTGCAAGGAAATGAAGTGACAGTGGGCATAACACCTGACGCCAGCTGCATCATTGGCCGATTCCGCACCTTTGTAGCAATAGTGACTGATTTGGGAAAACAGCGCACTCAGAGGAACCCAGACATTGATTTCTATGTGCTGTTCAATCCTTGGGACCCTGGTGAGTACAAATGTAACACTTGTATAGCGTACCGACTTCACCTATATAGATGGCAACAAACTTTAATATTTTCAATGATGATAATGCATGTATCTCATATTGTTGCCACACAGAGGATCTGGTGTATATGCCCAGAGATACCGACAGACAGGAGTATGTGATGAATGATGTGGGGATCATCTTCAATGGAGAAATCAACAACATATCCTCCCGTGCCTGGAACTTTGGGCAGGTTGGCAGTTTTCTGGAGTTCAATCTTCACAAAGAAAACAAATGTTCTTCCTCTTATGGTACCTGATACCTTCATTTAACATTTTATATGGTTTCCTGTAGTTTGAAAAGGGGGTTCTGGATGCCTGTCTTTTGGTTCTGGATGCTGGGAAAGTACCGCTACTGTACCGTGGAAATGCCATAGAAGTAGTTCGGCAGGGATCAGCCCTGGTATGATTTAATATGTTGTTGTATGAATATCATTAGCATTCTTTTTTTATCAACACTTGAACGTGGGCAAGTTTCATAAAAAAAAGCAACATTTTGAACAAAATTACATTTTTGTCAAAGACTACCTCCAGATCGGATTCAGATCGTTGATCAAATACTTTGATCGTAGATCGCTTCCAGAGGTGTAAATACCATACCTGAAAACCATACTTGAGTAAAAGTACAGATACCTTACATTGACACCGACTCAATTACAAGTCAACATTTCCAGTAAAAGTCTTAGAGTATCTGACTTTAACAGTACTTAAGTGTTTTACTTATACTGAATGTAGGCTCAACAGATGCACTGGTCCTCAACACCTAGGCTGCATTCCACTCCACTTTTACACACGCACTCGCGAACTTCCCTAAGCACTTCCCCTCGGGGGAATCCCCGCTGCCATTTTGAAGTGTGTTCCACTTCGTGAAGTGGACGAGGGAAGTTTATATGGACAGACCCTCCACCCCTCGATTTTGACCGAGGGAGCAAGTCTGCTTTATATGCACACTTCAGGCCGCTCCATAGACCACAATGCAACACGATAGTGACGTCATCGCATATCGCGTTTTATTTATCCCCACCCTAAACATACCTATATAGAATGCTGCACCAAACTAATTTGTAAGGGGAAAAATGCAAACAATAAACCAACTCTATAGCTGATTCCAAGGGTTCCGCCAGTAGTGGGCACTCGTGCAACGTAATCAATGACGTACATCCGAGTAAATGAGATGGAGGGAATTTTGCGAGTGAAGGGCATAAAAAAACGGACTGGAACGCAGCCCTAGAGACATGCCAGTGAAAAACAATAAGCAGCTGATCTCATATTTGAAACACCTGTGAATCAATTACCTGCTAATGCACTCACATTCGCATAAAGTAGACTTATTTACAAGCTGGGCGAGTAAGGGCAAAACGCACACGATATAGTACCTTCAATGTCCTGTACACGGCAATACCAGAAGTAAACTGCTGCAGAAAAAGTTAGGTGCCATGTAAAACTAAACGAGTATTTGGATTACTCATAAATGTATTGGTAAATGTTGCTAATATCTTTGATACCCAGTACTACTACAAAGTAGCCAAAAAGATACTTAAGTACAGTAACTAATTCGATTTACTCTAATACTTTACAACACTGATCGCTTCCTTCAACAACAAAGCTTGCACAGTCTTAAGGGGCAACATTTCATTCGGTAACATAGGCACTTTTGATTTATATGCTGTTGATGATCACGTTATTTTATATATGCACCTGCTTACATATGTTATCACTTGTTTCTGCTTCTTTTACTTCATTGTGTTTTGATGCAGACATTCAGTACTCTACTATACAGTATATATATATATATATATATATATATATATAGGCTTTTTGGTGGTATATTCTCAGATTAACTCCCAGGATGATGATGGTGTCCTGGTTGGCAGCTGGAGTGGTGATTACTCCACTGGCACAGCACCCACTGCCTGGACAGGAAGTCCCGAAATCCTGCTCAAATATGCCAAAGATGGTGGCTTGCCTGTGTGCTTTGCACAGTGCTGGGTGTTTGCTGGTGTGCTGAACACTTGTGAGTATGGCGACGCCACATACTTTATTGGTTCTGAAATTCAGGTTATTTAGACTCTTGCTAAAAAGACTGTGGCATAACAATGGCTCTATGATGATCTCACCCAGTTATGCGCTGTCTCGGGATCCCCGCACGAGTCATCTCCAATTACTGCTCTGCTCACGACAACACGGGCAACTTGAAGACTGACATTATACTGGATGAAGATGGGAGAGTGAACAGAAGCCGAACGAGAGATTCAGTCTGGTGAGACACACAAAGCATACACCGTCTGATAGGTAATGATGGTTACATGTTGTTTAGTGACAATGACACTGTATTTCAAAGGAACTACCACAGCTGGAATGAGGTGTTCATGAAGAGGCCTGATCTGCCTGAAAGGTTCTCTGGCTGGCAGGTGATCGACTGCACCCCTCAGGAGACCAGTGACGGTATGATCCTCCTGATCTTCTATATATACCCTGGCCTTTCTCTAAAGTTTACTTGATAAGGTTAGGAGACACTATCAATGAATTATGGAAACCACTGAATTAAGAATTAAAAAAGGTAATTGTGACTCTTTAGCTCGAAATTATGATTGTCTTCTCAGAATTGCGAGATATGAACTTGCAATTGCGAGTTACAGTAAGAATTGCAGTATATAAAGTCACAATTCTTACTTATTTTTTTTGCAATTGCAAGTTTATATCTCGCAATTCTGACTTTTTTGTCAGAGCTGTGAGATATAAACTTGCAATTGTGAGTTATAAAGTCTGAGGAAAGTTTTATATCTAAAAGAGTTTATATCTCGCAATTGCGTGTTATAAATTCAGAATTGTGAGGAAAGTCAGAACTGGGAGATGTAAACTCACATCTGCGAGAAAAAAGTCAGAACTGTGAGATAAAAGGTCACAATTTCCTTTTGTATGTTTTAATTCAGTGGCAGAAATGGTCTGCCATAATGAATAGAGTAGAAAACTGGAGTCCCATTACTTCTTACATTAGGCAATTACGACAATTTCTAATGCTGAGTGTATCCGTCAAGATCGACCATTCAACCCTGTTAAGAAACTTATTGTAAGCAAAATAACTGAATAAATACTGTTCAGTTTTATGTGGGCTAATTCTTCAACCTGTCATATTTGGTCATATTTGTATGTTTTATTTGATTTATTTTTTGAAAATTGAGTATTCATTTTGGATTTATAATTTTATTTATTTTTATGCTAGAAAATAATCACGCAAATCATGGTTTTAAAATGAATTTACGTATGTCGCAAAAACAGGGATGAGAAAAATGTGACCAAACAGCAAATATTTATATTTGGCCAAACAATATTTTTCAGACTTAAGATCCTCCTTCAACTGATAATTGAAAAATTAACTAAAATGTGGCTTTCAAGCCCTATTTTCTACCCTGTTCGTGGAAAGTACCAAGAGCTTGAAATAGTATAGACTTTTAAAGGCCTACATTTAGATCCTCCATCTGCTTGGTGATTTGAGCAGGGTTGCCAGGTTTTCCCAACAAAACCCGCCCAATTGCTACTCAAATCTAGCCCAAAACTAGCCCAATCGTGTTTCGAGGGGCGTCCCGCGATAAATGCGTTCCGGGGGATAAAATACTCATTTTTGGAGGGGTTCCCCTAAATATCATGTTATTGGGGTCGCTTCAACCCGTGGACAAGAAAAAAACCCCTGTGGCAACAATGTTAAAGTAGCCCAATTTTCCCGTGGACTTGGCAACACTGGATTTGAGGGATGTCTGAGATTTGGGATTTTGGCATCTCTGTTCCATTGCCATCTGCTCTGACCTTATGCATTTGAAACACAGTGTAACTTATAAATGTGGATCTTTTTTAATGTTGTATGTTGACCCTTATAAAAATCCAGCGTAGCGTTAGTTCTGGCAGGTCACGTTAGTCAAGCTCGCATCAGCTGACTCTCAGCTGATCCCCATCAACCTATGGGAATACGACACCTATCTAAGCATTCATATATAAGGTCCCTCAGTATTATCAGCAGTTTTCGCATTGCTCAATAGCTAATTACCCTCCTCCATCCCCAGCTCCTCCTCTGTCAGTCAGGATTCAGCCTTCTGATTCTCCTTGTTTACCCTGGGGGGGGGTTATCGCTGCTCTCCCTGCTCTCATCCATGCTAGGCTGCATGGAGGCGCAGGGAGTTCTTGCCCAGAACGGAACCATATCGCCAATCCAAACTGTATGCTAATTGTCAATCATCTTTGACGATAGTGGTCCTGACAGAACTGTACTGTTATGCTAAAAAAAAAAGATTTCCCTCTCTCTTTCAGGTCTTTATCGATGTGGCCCAACGTCTGTCAATGCCATCAGAGATGGAGAGCTCAGCTATCCGTTTGATGCAAAGTTTGTCTTTGCGGAGGTAAGAAACATGTCAATGCTCTTTGATGTTTACTTGCCATCAGTCTTTAGTTTACAAGATCTTAAAATATCTGCTGCAAATTGCATTTAAAACATGGAAAAACTCTTTCTCCTATCTTCAGCTGAACAGTGATGTGATCTACCACCAGTCGGATAAGTACGGAAACACAAAGGTCATCCATGTGGACACCACGTATGTTGGAAAGCTCCTTATCACCAAAAGGATGAACAGTAATGATTATGAGGACATCACTTCTGCTTATAAACATCCAGAAGGTAAGCTTCATTTTGTCCAAAAATTGTCACGCATTCCCTATCCCCTTCCCTGTCATTCTTCAACCTTCTTCCTGACTCCAGGCAGTGACAAGGATAGGCAGGCCATGCAGATGGCAGAGCGTCGTGGTGTCCCTTCCAGGGATTACTTGCCACTCGCTGAATCAGGTGTGACCATCGAGCTCCAGGCTGACACCATCAAAATTGGCGACAACTTCAAGATGACGCTGAACATTAAGAACCAGACCAGCCAAACCTGCACCCTCAGTGCCACCATCACTGGCTGTGTGGTGTATTACACGGGCATCACCAGCTCGATCTTTAAGCTTGACAACAAAGCTGCAACTGTGGATCCCTGGAAAAGTGAATCTGGCTTTACAAGTTTGTTGTAGATTTAGGACACATGCATTTCAGATTGCTTTGCTTCATTTTTGAAAATCATTTCACAGCCTCCAGCATGATGATCGATGTCAAAGCTTTGGAGTACATGCCCTACCTGGTGGAACAGTCCAACCTGCTCTTTGTGGTGTATGGACGCATTGAGGAAACCGCCAAGAGCCTTTCGACAATGAGAGTTGTCACCCTCCGTCCTCCTGAACTCACTATTAAGGTATACATCTTCCATAACCAGTCGTAGAGTAATATGTGGGATATATTTGATATTTTATGATATTAACAGTCATTATAACTCATCTACAGGTGACTGGAACGCCCCGGGTCAGAAAGGATTTCATGGTCACCATGTCGTTCCGAAATCCCTTTAACTTCATCCTGAAAAACATTCAGCTCCGCCTAGAAAGCCCTGGTCTGATAACAACCAAATTGAAAACATACGAGTAAGATGGAATAACCTCTGTCATATTTATTTTTCCATTCCGTATTCACAAAACATCTTAAAGCTAAAAGTAGCTCCTAACTTGCACATTTAGGAGAAACTCTTAAAAAGAATGGGCGTGTCAGTCCTAACTTTAGGACTCTAAGGCCCGGTTTCATAGACGGGGCTTAGCCTAAGCCAGGATTAGGCCATAGTTCAATTAGGACATTTTAAGTAATTTTTATAAACATTCCTTATAAAAAAAGCATTACTGGTGTGCATTATAAGACAAAACAAAGGCACTGACATGTTTTAAGATCAGTCAGTGCAAGTTTCTTTCAGTTGAAACTGCTCAGATTTACATTTTAGTCTAGGACTCGGCTTAAGCCTTGTCTGTGAAACCGGGGGTAAGAGTATTTCACAAAGCATTTTAGTACTAAACCAGCTCCTAAATCTGTGAAAGTTAGGGGGTAGTCAAGAAGAGGACTCCTAAGTCACCACACCAAATCACAAACCATGATAAAATGGCTGTTGCTGGCAATCCGCCACAGAACGTAAACATTTTAGAAACATTTCACGATAATTTCTCTTTAATTTAATCTAATTAATATGTCCTTCTTTTCAAGCTGGGCAAGACGTCGCAGCTGTCCTTGAGTCCAGTTTGGTTTTCTTTTATGTTTTACGTTACGCACAAACCATGATAAAATGGCTGTTGCTGGCAATCCGCCACAGAACGTAAACATTTTAGAAACATTTCACGATAATTTCTCTTTAATTTAATCTAATTAATATGTCCTTCTTTTCAAGCTGGGCAAGACGTCGCAGCTGTCCTTGAGTCCAGTTTGGTTTTCTTTTATGTTTAATCTTACTATTAAATCAGCTATGATTATTCTATTTTGTTAATTAAAAGACCCTGTTGAAAAAAAACCCCCACAAATGATGGTTGGGTACAGTATGTTTTGAAGCATGGCAGATGGTTTAAGTTGGTCATGAGCTGGTTTATGCTGGTACTGAGCTGGTCATGTGCTGGTCCTAATCAACTAGCTTCTGCTCAGGACCAGCTTAAACCAACTCATGATCATCTAAGGGCCTGCTTAAACTAGCTCAAACCGTGCTTAAAATCATACCTAACCAGCATATGCTGGTTTTTTCAAAAGCTCCTGATCAGTTTGCTTTTAGCTATTAATTTTGAAGTGAGGTGCTGACAATGATGTGTATATAGTTTTTTTTATGCATATACAACTCTATCCATTTCCATTTGCAGTCACATTGCGCCTGGTGGTTCACTGCAATATACGGAGACGATCACCCCTCAGTATCCTGGGAAGAAGGTGCTGATAGCGTGCCTGGACTGCGCTACAGTGAGGCAGGTCACCAGTCAGCTGGAAATCTTCGTCCAGTAACGGATAACGGATTGCCATGAAGGAACCAGAGAGAAAAGATGAGCATAGAGGAGAAAGGAGGAATCAGAGGGTTACCATTACCATTTTCTTGAATTGCTTTGCTTTCTTCACAAATGTTATCGAAATACAAGCTAATGTTTTTTTTTCTTTACAAAACACCCAACCCTTCCAACACTGGATTGTTAAAAATATAGAGTTATTTTTGATTGGTACTGTTCAACCACCGTCATGTGGTAAAATTGTTACCGAGGAGTACACGCATTTTAAGCAAAAAACTTTGAATTTGTAAACTCATTTAACTGTACAAAATACACACAATAAAACATTAAATACCTACGTATATGTATATGCATTAAATGTTTCACAAACACACGGTCACCCTCAACCTGGAGGTCTGATACGTTCTGATTAGCAAAGTGTGGATGCGAGAAATCATGAGTGTATCAGGAGATGTTGTAAATTGGGAGTTGGAGGAAGAGTGGGAAAAAACGGGAGAACCCCATAATATCGGGAGTGTTGGCAAGTATGCACTTGACGCAGAATGTTTTTGTGGGTGTGCAAAATTTTCAATGTTCACAGGAAAATAAGACCTACTTAAACCGGAAACAGCAACGTGAGAAGTACATGTAAGTGTACTCATGCACACATAAAAGTCTAAGTGTGCGAGCAACTGAAAGCTATGAAATATAATAAAGGTCTATTAAAATTTAAGAATAAAATGTAAATGATTTTCTAAAATTACACATGAATCACTGTTGTTTTGGTTGGGTACCTTAATTAACATAACTCTATTAATCAGAATATATTGCGTATTTTCTCTGCTGTAATGCCACTGACTGTGTTTCACTAATATAAACCTTCAGCATGAAAGCATTTTTTATGATTTTATTTGTTATTTATACTGCAAATCTTCATTAAGACATCAACACCACCTGAAAAAATTTAAATCATCTGGCTCGTAAGGGATTTGGCTCTCATGTCAAAGTGAAATGCCATTTGCAACCCATTTTACTTCTATAATCTTAGGCATTTCCCAGTGAAATAGAAAGAACTCCTGGCCATGGAGTTGCTAGCGCCATCCTCTAATTGAGCTACATGAATGTAGGCTAGACCTACTGTACATATAGACCAGAGGTCTTCATCCCTACTCCTGGAGACGCACTGTCCAGCATAGTTTATTTCAAAGTGCTTCGACACACCTGCCTGTTATGCCGGGTTCACACTGCATGGTTTTCAAAGTCGTCGGATTTCTGCTATTCCCACACTGCACGACTGTTTGGGCCACCATATATCTGCTGTTGTGTTCACACTACATGACACATCGGCAACAGGGGGTCACACATTACACATCTTTTCATTAGTAAGTATCGCCGACAGCTCTGCCTTGTCTTTGTTTCACAAACAAACATGAGAACTGATACGGGGAATAACACGAGAATGGATTTATTCCATTCAAAAATGGTAGCCTGCAAAAAGCTTGCAATCCAAGTTGTCTGTACACTGACTTGCAGTGAAATATTTTTTAAAGAAGAATATGAAGGAGAGATGGTTGCTTGCAGAAGCCATGAATGCTGATGTTTTGTTGCAGATCTATGACTCCTCCCCCTTGCCCTGTATCGTGCTCTCTCAATGGCTGTTGGTTGCCGCTATTGTCATTTTCAGCCAAAACACATTTCAGCTGTGAATCGCCGATATTTAGCATGCCAAATATGTCATGGGCATCAGCGAAGCATCAGCGCTTCTCTCAGATCGCGTCTTTGATAACACACACTAAGTGATTGTCACTCACGTGAACGATTGCCTCCGATTTGTCGGTGAGTGAAAATTGGGGCTTAAATCGTGCAGTGTGAACCCGGCAAGCGACCCTGAAGTCCTTTATTAATTTGGTTCAGGTGTGTTTGATTAGGGTTGGAGCTAAACTCTATTGTGCCAGGTTGGAGGGGATTACACAATGATTTAATAATCACCCTAAAAGGGAGGACGAAACCTGCAAAAACAATAAATAAATAAATACACACATAAGTAAATAAATATGCAAATAAATAAATAAATGTGTGTATAAATACACAAATTCTTGTTTAAATACATATAGAAATAATTCAACATGTGATTAAAGTAGGCAAATAAATAAAATAAATTGGTGGGCAAATGGAAAATGTTTAAGGAAATGCTAAACTCATCCTATTTATTTTCCTTTGATCACTCATTTATTTCTGAATGTAGTTCCACATTTATTTTTCCTCTGCACAACATGCTAATGAGAGGGTGTCAACCATGGACTTGGTTGGGTCTTGTGATAGCTGGGGGCGCGGCTTTCCCGCTGACAGGAGATGCATGGTGTAAATCCAGTATAGCCTAAAGTCACTTTTTAATTTGTGTATTTATTTATTTATTGTTTTTGCAGGTTTCGTCCTCCATACTATACAGGTATATAACAATAAATATAATAACATATTAGAATAATATAATATTACCTTATATATTACTTAGAAAATTAACATATCATACAACTCTGACGCCTACTTGAATCGACATTTGAAGCATCCAAATTTTCTCTAAATTGTAATGTAGACACATGCATGAGCTGATAAGCTGATTTGAAACAATGTGTATTGTGAAAAGCGCTATACAAATAAATTTGAATTGAATTTGAATTGAACTCTCTCTCTCTCTCTCTCTCTCTATATCTATCTATCTATCTCTCTCTCTCTCTCTAGTGCTTGATGTGGTTCTCTCATCTTCATTCCTTCCTCGCAATGCTCAGAAAGTGCTAGACTTAGTGAAATATAGGTGAGCGCCTTGGGAGTCTTTGCCTGTTAGTCAAAGAAGATTTGGCCTGTCTATTCCAAAACTTGTCGCAGGAACCTGACTCAGGATCATTGATTTATTTATAATTAACTGAAGCTCTGCAATGCCATTTGATTTGACTCAATTTGGCAAAGACTAGCCTCTAATCTTTCTCTAACTCTTTCTTTCTAAAATCTATCTATCTATCTATCTCTCTCTCTCTCTCTATATATATATATATATACATATGTATAGTATATTTGATAACTATATTGTAATCATATATAATATAATAGGTTGATATAATATAATAACTTAATAATTACTTGCTATGGCTACTTACATACCCTGAGAGTAACCTCAGAGAGTAAAGCTGAGTTTATCCGCTTACTTACCCTTAAACATACCCGGGTATGTCACATAACCTGCTTTCTGGAATACCCCCCAGGACACCCCTGGTTTAACTAGGCCATATAATAGTCCAGGGGTGTCAAACTCAATTCCTGGAGGGCCAGAGTCCTGCAGAGTTTAGATTCAACCCAAATTAAACACACCTGGGGTGTATTCCAGAAAGCACGGTTAACTTACCGTCAGCTAAACCCTGAACTTTCTGTTGATTAACCCAAAACCTTGCTTACTCGAGGTATGTGGTTCCAAAAACGCATCAGGGAGTAAGTTCATTCAACTCAGAGTATGTTCCTGGTTAATTCTCAACAGAGCTAAGATTCGATGAGTCACTATGGAAACGGACGCTAAGAAAAAGCGTGCCATGCTGTTTCTTTTTTCGTTCAATGGTCGTTTACATGCTTAGTGCATATCGCCACCTAATTGATGGTTGTGCAATCATTTAAATTTTTTTCCCCCGTTTAATCTTTAATCCTTGAGAATATGAATTATATTGTTTGTTTGATGCTAATTATATATTAAGTCACATCAGATATGTATTTTGATTTAGAATTTAGACATTATAGACAATGCCGATCCATGTGTGATAATATAAAATGTAATAAATATATATATATATATATATATATAATAAATTAAACATTACCTTGTCATAGTGTTTTATAATTTATACAGATAACTGTTATATATGCCAATAAAATAAATATAATAACCATATTAGAATAATATATGACCTTATTTGTTACTTATATTAGCGCTTCATCATTAACATATCATACAAATAGGCTATATACTGTATATATCTATATATAATGTTGTGCACTATCTGTCACGCCCACTGAAGGCTCGTCAGTAGATCACACGTGCGCTGAAGTGAACTAACCCTCCGGAGCAGGTTATCTTCAGCGAGCAAGTTACTATGGTTACTTACATACCCTGAAAGTTACCTCCGATTCTGGAACCGAAAGATGAGGTTATCCACTCGCTTATCCTCGAACATACCCAGGTATGTCACATAACCTGCTTTTTGGAATACCTCCCTGTTCCAACTTATCAAGTCCTTCAGGCTTATTTGAAAACCACATGGTAGACTATATGGCCGTTTCTCAAACGGAAGGCTGCATCCTCCGGAGGACACATTTGCAGGCTGCATACGTCATCAAGCCTGGTTTAGTTCAGCTAACCGAGCATTACATTCGCGAGTCATAAGCATATTACAACAATTTACGCTTAACTAAGAATAATGGTCAAATGTATAACTGTTAATATTCTAAAATAGTATCTTCTTTATGACGTATGCAGCCTACAAATGTGACCTCCGGAGGATGCAGCCTTCCGTTTGAGAAACGGCCTGTGTGTCGGAGCAGGGGTTACTTGGAACAAAACTCTACAAAGCTCCGGCCCTCCAGGAATTGAGTTTGACACCCCTGTAAGAGTTATTTTAAAGGTCAAGATATTGTATTAAATATTATGAAGACAAGCCATTTTTAACAATTAATCCTACCATACAAAAACAGCTAAGAGTCCATTTTAATCTAGCTGAGTTTTAATCTGTAAGAAAACAGTGTGCTTCGTTTCATGAAGCATTATTTCACTGTGTTTCACTTCATTCTGCTCATTCAAATAATTCCAGATTGAATCCCCTATTTTCAGGAAAGAGAGGAAAGCTCTGCTGACGCAAACAGTGCCTTACCTCATTTGCTCCACTCCCTCCATATGAATGAAACACGGTTTAGACAGCCTCCACTGCACCAGTGCTGCTGGAATACCCCCTTCTCTCTCTTGCTGTCTTCCCTGCTTTCCCCAAGCCCTCCCCGCGCCCACCTGAATGAGTCACCACGGAAAACCTCTCAAGCTACGGAGTAATTGCGGGGTGGGACGGGGACACACACATTAAACAGGGATTCCCTGTGCTGTCGAAGTGACGGTTCATTTAGCTCTCTGCTCACTCAGGCGTTCTCGACATTCCTCCGAGACTGGCTTTCAAATATTATTGGTATCTATCAGCCAAATACTTGCTTTTCTGATCAAAGAGATCACATAACCTAGATATAGTATACATCTTGTTGCACGGCTCCGCCACAAGATGGAGACAAAACATGAATAAAAACCTGCTATAGTTTGGACTCCTATAGCAT